CCTAACTATTCTATGATTCTATGATAACTGCATATAGTAGCAAGCTAAATGTAAACAGGATGCTGACACATGTGACATTAGATTTCTATGGCTGCTAAATGAACAACATAAATAGCTTAAATTTAACAAATAGTCAAAATTAAAGTTTCTACTATTTGTTAAGATTATATCAATCTCTTTCAAGTATCTCTACATATTGTGCACCGTTCAGTACAAGCAAGTGTGACACTAGCTTACACTGTAACCATGACTGTGTCAGACAAGGCAACCATCAAATCATCACTAAACTGAGTCTAGGCTGACTATTTTATCATGTACTTACTGGGCCTAAATTTATATAATTTCCATAAAATATTATCATAGATATTTTATATGATTACAGCTTTATTATTTTTAGATACAATTCCACTAAAAGGCAATGAAGACTCTGGCATACTTTGTAATGCTGTAAGCCTTACCCCATAGTCGAATCACTGAATACTGATGAAAAAACAACAGCAACAAGGCCTCACTTTCTGGTTTTGGACACACTCCTACAGCACAAGCATTTGGACATTACTGCCTTCTCAGAAACTCTGAGCTATCAGGACATGTCAGAAGAGGGAATCATAGCATGTAGAACTCTGAAGTCTGACAGCTATGCTGTTATTTTTGTCTCACTACTCACTACTATACTCACTTGTCTGTCAGCAGACGATACTCTCCTATTTGTGTTGACAAATCAATGATTTGGTTGACCACTTCCCAGCATACTGAATAATGCTTTTTATAACGTGCCTGAGCTCTTTCAGCGGCAATTTTCTCATGATGTTCTCTTTCTTTGATAATTTGTTCTTCATAATCAATTTTTTCTTGTTTTGCAAGAGCCTAGAATTTTTTTTTTTAAAGAGTAAATTCCAGATTACAAAGAAAATGAAAGTGCAGAACTGCACAGTCCTGGAAACAAAAATTAACTTACTCATTTAAATAAAAAACCAAAACCAGCTAGATTCTCACCAGAGGTGGATAACAAGTTACAGATTAACACATAGGAAAATCTAGAAATTTTTATTCATTCTGTAAATTGCAGGGTTTTTTCTTCCTAAACAAAATAAAGGAGAAATATATTACTTCTTTTGTGATGAACAAATTAAGAACATAATTAGTGCCTAGGGGGCAGGGAAAAATGAAATGATGCTGTCTATTCTTCCTAAGAAACAACTATGCAGATGCACTGGTAAAGGCTTAGTTCCACTGAAACCCGCAATGGAATACTCATTGAGAACACATTACAAGTAATTTAGCTGAAAAGATTCTGATCTGCAAATAATTTGATATTATTGATGTCGATCAATCTTTGAGAAAGATTTCTGGTATTGGTAGAGAATTACCAGTAGTTCCTGTGACAGTGTGTTCCTTTTTGCCAAAAGCATACTTAAAAAAGATATTGTAATCAATAGTTGTAGCTGCTTTAGGGGCTCCACTGTGTCAGAGGATTTGGAGCTGCTGATTGTTTTTTGCAGGAACAAACCTGCAAAACAAACCTGCAGGAACAAATCTGGTGATTTCTACTATCACATCATGGCCTACTATCAGTGTAGCCCTTTGCAGTTTGCCGCAGGTTTATGAGTCCTTTTAATTTTTTAATCAAATCCAAGTTGATTTTCCAAGGTAGAAATTAGCAATCATGAGTGAAAGTCCTCCAGCATTTCTCAAAAATGGATGTTAACAAATTACATCTAAAGGAAATGAAAAACATGATTCTTTGAACAAGATCTTATGTTGTCTTGTCATTTTGCTTCTGCAAGACTGTACCTTTAAAACTCATCATACAGAGATGTTTTTCTACAAAGGTAAAATTAGTTTGGAAGAAAAGATCAAAATTAGACTTTAAGTTGTTCAGCTTTATCCCTTATTAACTTAGTTGCAACTTTGAACCTATATAAAAGAATATATTCATTAAATCACCCTGTTGCTAAAAAAGTCCTAAATTCTAACAGTTGACAATATAAATTCCATTTTATAAAAGGAAAGTACTGTAACAGTCCTGCAGCAATTCTGGGAGCAAATAATCTTTTACCTTTTCTCTGTCAAGAGCTTCCTGGAATTCTTTCAGTCGTCTTTCTTTATATTGTTTTTCCCTGAAAATTCTGTTTTGCCTTAGCACTTCCTTTTCATGTCGAACATGCATGAGTTGAACAGCAATCCTCCGCTCCTGCTGAGTTTGTCTCAATAATCTGTAAATTAGTTGCTCCTCCCGATAAGCCTTCTAAAATATAAAAAGTAACAGTATTAAACACAGCTTATAAACTATGTCCTAGACAACTCATCAGTGTCTCATATGAGGATATGGAGTAATATAACTCCATATTACCTGCTCATTTGATACACAAATCCAGAACAACATATCAAAGTGTTATATTTGTAAATTATTTAAGAACTGTAGAACTATAGAAGTTAATTCTATGTGTATCTTTACAGGTAGTAAAAGTACATTTATTCATATTTGCTTCAGTACATAAAGAAACACCCTTCCCCCAAATCAATGATTCTATGAACTTATCCCTGCTCTCCACCAGTCCCTGTTGTACTCTACTGGATCCTTGATCTGTCTATTCTATGAAATTTTCCCTTTTTTCTTGGGATTTGGGTAATTATATCCTCCATTTTCCTCCATTCAGAACAGTAGGAATATGAGGAAGCATTCAGAGCAGAGGAGAACACAAGAGTTCCAGGTGACAGTTTCAGTTGTCTCACTGGGACATGAACAGAATCCTCTGTTTGGTACTATAAGAAAATAATTCTGAACCATTGCCTGAAGCACGGTCAGTATGCACAGACACTTTGCAGGCTGTGGACTGTAACTTCTCACAGTACTTGTCAAAACATAATAGTATCTTCTCACTACTACACTTGTTTAGACTGGTCTTGGTATCTAATGCTCTACCTAACCTAAAGTTCTGCCTCGTTACTTTCAAAGTCCAGTACTATTTCTGAGTTCTAAGCTTGCCTTTCAAGCTCCATTGCGAAATATCACTCCTACAGCAGAATTTTAGAGGAAATTTCTGATTCACAGGACATTTATTTCAGATGTAGCAAAATGCTATGAAATCTGTTCAAATTTAAGGACATAAATTGGAAACTGATCTGAAGATTTCAAACTCATTTTTCTAAGAACAGAGGAACAGGTAAAGCCAGCTAGTAACAGTATGAAAGCCAAACCAAAGTAAAGTATCACTTCTGTTTTCTTTTAATCTGGTTTATTTTCCATCAGCTGTCTGCGACAGAGAGGGCAGAACACATTACATAAATTCATCTGTAAATGAAAAATCATACTAAATTACATATTATTATACTATTTATGAAAGAGCTCTAAAAAGAGGTCTAGATCTGCGCTCACAATGCAACTAGGACATCTGCAATAGATTTCTAACACAAAGCGGCGAAACATGACTATTTTAATTGCAATAATAAGAACTACAACTTTCTAATTAATTTAGAACTTTAATGTTGATGTTAGGGAGAAGCCAATATTTTCCAGACAAAACTCTTCCCATATTTTTAAGCTCTTTTCCCTTTATAATTGCTGGGAATAAACCACTCAAATTAAATACTGATGACTTGAAAAGACTAAGCTTTGCACTCCTCTTTCATAGCACTGAATCTCAAGACACTGCATAATATTTCTAATGGCAAAGATGCAGTTCCATAGTGCTTCACCTGCATGAGGTGAATTTTGTGAATTAGATCCCATTTTGTGATAACCATTTTGAAAGTTTTTTGCTTTGTACTCTATTTATAGTGTTTGTACACTGTTTTTCTATGCATAGAATTTTCATCATGAGTGCAAGTGAAACAATGTAGTAGTAAGAACTTTATACGTAGTTTATATTTTCATATTCATCCTACGTGTCATTTGATATAGCTCACGTGATAAAATTTTTCAGTAGCACTGCCTGCTGGAGAGTTAATCTGTTCAATCTGTCTCTTACATTCATGAAGTCAAGGCAATAAAAGTAGCCATGATGCCCTTTCCTGCCTCAATTTTATCTACTGTTTCTTTGGGCTTAGTATTTCATTAAGATTTCAAAGAAGAGAAGATAATGTACAGACTTTGCTTCCCATTACAAGTAAATCACCTTCATTGTTTTCTTTAGTTGCAACTGTGTATTCTCAGACATGGATTAGTACTGCAACAAGGACTCCACCAGAGGAAAATGGATCTTTAAATCCTAATTCACAAGGGATTGAGTCACTCACCCTGACAGAGTGGTCATTAGACATACTCAAACAATCAACTGTATGGTGCAAATATTTGGCTTAGTAAAAAATCAAAGCACCTTCTGTAGTAGAATGTGCTCTTTATAAAGGAAATAGTTCCTTTAGAACACTTCAGAGCAACCAAAACAGACCTTTACTTTGTTAACTGAACAGCGGATAACATCAGTATTCTACATGATCAAACATTTTGACATTCTGAGTAGGCCTAAAAAGAGGTAGCCAGAAATTTCTGATGAACAAGAACATATGAAAAGGCAATTAACTCAGAACTACACTATGGACAAATTAGGATTCAGAATACCAAACTCAGAGCTTCAAAAAGGGTGCTTATGGAAGCATTGGTAGCTATCTTTCATACAAAGAGTAATGGACCTAAGTTTGAAAATTTTTGAAACTCCTGGACATATTAGGACACAAAATAAAAATTGTAGTGTAATTTTTTGTCCTAACATTTTGACCTAACATGTAAATATCAACTTTTTTTATGGAGGACTGTGAAGTGCCTGAGGAAATCATAAATAATGTAAATGTGACACATTCATAATTGAAAAATATGAATTCATAATTGAAAAATTACTACTGAGAAACATGACATACACTTCTTTTTTTTTAGTTTACCTACTCAAGACAACAGTGTCATCCAGTGGCCAAACATTAATGCCTTTACGTTTCTTGTTCATACATCATTACTACATGACGCTTTTCTATTTTTCTATTTCCTTGTTTAATTTACATTCAAATGAAACAACTTTGTCATGTTGTGTAGTCATAAAGTTTATAACCAAAACTTATAGTTTAGCATACATAAATCTATTTGACTGACAAGCAATAATCTAGTAACAATTCCCTTCCCCTCCCATTTTCATCTTCTCAGTTTATTGCTAACAAAAACTTATTCCTGACAACTTTTAAATTCAGAGAGGTAAAATATGAGAACATTAAATATAATGAGTACTTAGAATAAATACTTTATTGAAATGGTGGAGATCTAAGATTCAATTGAGATGAAGCCATGTTACTGTCAAACACTTTCAACTCTTGCCTATGAAAATCTGACTGGCATCCCTCTGTGTTCCACATAGAGGAGTGTCATGTAATTGTAAACTATTTTTTCTCCCAGGCTCCAACTTGTAATGTGAACTTCAGAAAGATTCTTTTAGTAGATTTACATGTATGGACACGAAACACACTAAAGCACTCTGAAGGGACAAACTTCGTTTGACCCTAAACGATCTTGTGCATGTGTTCATGTTTTACGCAGTACAGATAACAATCTGACACTGATTTCTTGAAGAAAGCTACATTTCATTCTGAAAATGTTTTCTGGTTTGATGTCTAATGAAGCAAGAAAGTAATTTTTACTATTTTGTATATTTATTTATTTATTAAAGAAAATACTGTTTGCTTCACACTTTTCCTAAGTCAAGTAACGTCTAATTTCTGAAATCTCAGAGTACCAACTAGACACCTGTTCCTCTGCTAATTTAGAACCAAATTACCACTAAATAATCTGGTCATACTGCTCTTCCAGTCAACTGCTCACTTGTCTTTCCATCTAATTCCTGTAGTCTGTGACTTCTATTGTTTCTGTATCAATGCTGATTTTTCTTTCTGGGAAGTTAGGAAGAAAAAGTTATTTTGTACTTGCTTTGGAGCCTTACCAGAGCTGGGTTGGCAGCACATTGCAAAAATTCCTCCATTCGAACTGACAAGGCTTGTACTACAACCACAAGTGAGCCAGCTGTCTGACCTCAACAGCACTGACTGGCTTTGCTGGCTTAAAGCTGCTCTATCTACCAAATGCCCCAGTGACTGCTGCTGGCCACATGGCCATCAGCTGGCAGCCATGACAATCAGAATCACTAGTCCAGGCTGCTGGTGTCGTGCTGGGGCTGCAACAGCAAGAGCAAGTTTTGGGACTACAGTGATTTCAGATAACTGAGTCACAAAACTTCTTCATGGCCTATATGCATATCAATAAGAACATGATATAAAACCTCTCTGAATGAGACCTCAGAGACAGGAAAGATGAATAGATGGACTCTTGGTTTAAGCCACTACAGATGCTTTTCATAGAATATAGGTCCAGGATAAATATTGAGAAGATGCCTACCCCAACAAATTTAAATTTTTCTTAGCACCACCAAAACATCTCTAGACATTAGATGCTAATGTTTTATATATATGTATGTGTGTAATTCCATACTTTTCAGATACGCCACACATCTGATGCTATTACTATGCAACAACAGTGGAGATATATACTAGGTTCAACATATATGACCTAAGCTAAGGACCCACAGTGCAATACTAAGATAAAACATAACTAGAAATCACAGAACCCAGTAAGTTACACAGTTCTGTTTTGATGCAATCATTATGAGAAAGAAGGTCTGTGAAGTCAGTAGTCTAAGGGCTGCGTTTTGAGTGAGTGTCTGAGGAGGAATCTGAAAAGCCTTGTGCTTTTCAGTCAAATGAAATAACCTGCAACATCCATTTTAGACACAACACAGGCAGATATATATCCAGAGATATATCTTCTATTCCATAACACATCAAAAATCAAAGATCTGATCTGCAGCATAAGTGTTTTGCTTCTTTATATTCCCCAGAACTAACATTTCAGAATTCATCCAGTACAGATCAAACTTTACATGACATATTTGTAAATACAGGTTTCCAACCAATGAATGCCAATTTCGTTGCTTTTTAAGAAGTATCTTCTTCAGAACCACTTTACACTTTCATAATTTGAAGTTCAACTTGGTGGGGGAAGAATAAAAGGTAAGTATTCAACTGATTTTTAATAACCTTAGCTCTGCTGCCTTCATTTGATCCTTTATGATTTATAAGGATAAAGTATGACATAAAGATGGTGAGAAATCTTCCATACTTTTCAAGGAAAAACAAAGGCATAGAAGTTATTTTCAGAGCTAAGCGTATATACCTCCTTTTATCGCCTCAAAATCTACTCACCTCCAAAAATACCATTCTTCTACACTTGTAAGCAATTCTTTAAGTTACTAATTGTGCAGGGGTTATATACTTCCACATACATTTTCTCACCTCTGCAGCTTCATGTGCTATTAACTGGTCCATTAACATTTTTCGCCGTCTCTTTTCTCGTTGTTCTCTAGAAAACGTCTCTTCCTCTAAACGTTTTTTAATTTTCCTGATATAGTCATCATCTGAATAAACACTTAATAGCTCAGTTGCTGTCTGTTCTGTAGTTTCTGGAGTTGTTTCTTGCAGCTTCTGTGTTTGCAATGATTCTTGTATATCACTGATTGAAAAGATTAAAAAGATCAATGACTTTATAGGAATTACAGCTCTTAGAGATGTTTTCATTCAGATAGCTGTATAATTATGTGGGAGTCTGACAAATGCACAACAGCACTCTTTGTGGGCGCTATGGTTACTTTTTGGTGCTCTTGTGCCCCACAATGACCACTAAGTCCAGAAGAGGGCTCCAGCCAGCACTGACTTGAGCCAACTATCAGTTCATTTGCTAATATGAAGTCAAATTCCACAGAAACAGGAAATTAGGATGGCTCATAGAATACCAGAGAAAGACAGGTTACTCTTTAATATGTCCATATGCTTTGAGTGCAGTTTTGCAGAGTTATTAATCACATTTTGTTTAAACACAGAAGTATCCACAGCAGTATGCAGGAGTGCCACCTCTTCTGAATATGTTGTACGTATCTCTAAGGGTGACAGAATGACTATTAACTTAAATTATTCACAAATACATCAAAATATGTATAAGTCTAAGGAGAAAGGTTACTTTGATATGTGTTACTGTGCATGTACATCTACAACCATACTTGTCTCTTTGCAAATCTAACTGACCTGACAAACTCAATGACTGGAATGAAGAGAGAAGCAAAGCACTTTGTGTCCTTTGTTGCTATACGTATGGCAAAAAGGAGAGAAGGAAGTTTAAGCCATCCCTACTACAACTGAAAATAAGGCAAAAACACTGCAACGGTGCTGGAGCATTTGTAGTGCTAGTGGGACAATCACAGTTTAAACTAAACAAGATATCCCATTTTCCTCAAATCGCTGTCCACATAGGTAGTACACACCTGAGGTAGGATCCTGTCTAATCTTAACAATCTAATATTTGAATATTTACCTGTCAGTAACTTGGCTGTGTAGTGCGTAGGCAATAGACTTCTCAAACTTACTAATCTCCTTGTATGTGTCCTGAAGAAATAATAAAAAATTTGATGGTTTTTTTTCTCCTCACAAAACACAAAGGTTCAATAGACCAAGGATTTATAAATTATTTTTATGTCGTGTTAGAGCTACAGAAATGTTTACACTGAAAATAGGTTTAGCATCAGCTAGATGAAATAAAAAATAAGACTATTTCCCTTTTCTAACTTTCATTCCCTTCCTGCCTACCCTTTTCCCAGCCATGTCCACTATCTGGAAAATCCTAAGATTTTGCAGTTGTTCATTTTGCAAGATAATTCTGATTTTGCACAGGGCTCCAGTAATTTATATAAATTCCACCATTCAGGGATTTGAAACAAGATATTCTGGCTACAACCTGCTTTAGATTTAGTAGCTTGAATTTATCCCTAATAGTCACTCAAGCAACTACGTTGCTTTTATACACTCTACATTTAAATGCATCCGTCACTATTGTCCAGCTGTAAAACTGGTAATATTTGCATTCCTGATGACAATCCAATCCATGAACTGTATGATCACAATCCAAGTACTCTCCAGCACTAGATAATAGAGATTTATTTTTTTTTTATTGCTACACTGCCATCATCTCTTGATTTGATCTATGACTATTGTCTGTTTCAGCTGTTACTAATGTTTTTGACAGAGCAGACAGTGTTACAGTGCGTGTTAAAGAAGAGTTCATACATTATGGTGCAAAACATCATGCACAAAAGAGAAGGAAACATTAGTATTTTTATTTCACATATTCTACTCAGTAAACTAAAAGCTGTCAGCAATGAAATTGGCATCTACCTATGGTATTTATTCAATATGAACTTTCACTTACATCAAAGCTAATTTTTACTAAGTAACAAATGCAGAATTACATTAATATTGAGCCAAAATTTCACTGGTTGAGTCTACTATACCATTTTAACATTATATCAGCTGCTTTTGGAGAGTGCAAGTACAGTATTTTTAAGTCTAAATGCTCCTATAAATCATATGTTTTGCAATTTCATACAACTAACATTAAAAGACTGTAGATGATAGTTACCTCTGCTTCTCTTTTCTTCTTTAAGAATTTTTTTGCTTCAATAGCTTTTATGGCGTGGCTTGGTGGTGGCTTTGGAGTCTGTAAAATGGCTTCTTGAATCCTGGCCATTATTTCATTTTGTTTCTTTCTTCCTATACGATGCTGAATATTCAATATCTTATGTTCAGATACTTGAGTTGAAACAAAATACACCCTATGGCCCTAATACATTACCTATATATCTATGAAGTAAATGTAACTAAGCCTTAGGAAAAAAGTCTTCCAGGAAGAAAGAAGTAGAGCTTATCAGGCTCCAGGTTTCAGCAATGCCTGAATTTACTTCCCCCCCCCCGCAAGTGGATCACTAAAATGTCATAAAAGCAAATAATTCTTTATCTTCATCCACAGTTAAATGTTGTCTCACAATATTCTCAGTCACTGTACTCATAAATCTCCATTTTTATACCAAGGAGTAGATGTTGTAAAATGCATTTTGAAGTATCATTCTGAATAATTTGACAACTTAGCAATATGTTAGTATATGTTCTCAATATTTGAGGATGAAGATTTTTTTTTAACTACCATTATGAAAATGGTATATCTTATGTGCATTAGCAAATACTGTGGTGCAATAGAAGCCCATCTGTAAAAAAAAACCAGTTTGTGCTCAGTGCCTAATAGGCATGTAAGGGCTTACACTAAATTCCAGCTCTACTATGGAACCTGTTTCAGGTCAGAATTCAGTACAGAAACTCAGAATACCAGTTTCCTGGTGCAGAAACTGAGGATACCATTATGTAATATTACTGCTGAACAATGAGCGTCAGATGATTAGGAAGTAAGAAACATCTAAATTACACTACTTAGAAGTGCACTTCAGTTACATGCAGTGAAAGTGGAAAAAATGGTTATTTACAAAGAATCTGAGATAGTTGAAAAATAAATATGTAACTTACCAAAGATAGTTACAAAATAAGTATGTAATATAACTAAGATATTTAAAAATAAGTAGGTACTATAGGAAATATTACATTAATTTTCTTTTCAATTTTTATTTTTAATATTTTGGATATTGATTCCATTTTCTTTTCCAGATACATGAAGGGACAATTTTCATTCTTGTTCATGCAGTGGCAATAGAACAGCTAAATAACCACAGACTCTCTCTCTTTATGCCACATAAAAAGCATCTCAAATTAGTCAACTTCATTTTCACTGTGGTTCAACACCCCTTGCATAGCTGGCCAATTCCAATATCTAAACTCCAGGCTGTACTTTGGATGAGTGTTCCCGTACCTTAAGATGTTAGTTCCTGTTTTTTCCCTTTATCAGAACAACTACACTGAGCTGCATGTTCTGAGGCCATACCACTATAGGTCCCCTTCCCTGTGTCTTTTTCCTGCATTTGATCAATGCTTCATCTTTTTTTCATGAGTGAAGAATGTCACAAACCTCTTTTACAAGGACACCTTAAACACATACAGTAGTAAAATTTGCACCTTGTCTTAAAATCTATAAATATTTTCCGAGCATGACAATATGCAAATATTCTTAATATAACATTAAGAGATTTTAAAATATTAATACTTTAAAGGTCTTGTAACAGTATATTGGCTTTATATCTACACATTAATGGCTGCTATGTTTATTCCTTTTCTTTGTTTTTGTATAAACATGACTATGTGGCACAGAATTACCAAGCATTCACACTGGCTTTAACTCATTATGTACAAGACCTTAAGAAAATACTTCTTCAGAACTATATAAGAAGTTACCTTTTCAATTTCCTGGGCTCTTCGTTCCTCTTGGAGCTTCTGAATTTTCTGTTGCTCTGCAATATGTTTACGAGCTATTTTATCTTCTGCTGCCTTAGATTTTTTTTCAAACTGCTCTGAAATCTGTTGTAGTTGCAAATCAACCTGACGTGGTGTTAAAGTTTTCAAACGCTAAAATTCAACATCAAACAATTAATTCAGAAGCAGTAAGGAACAGATTTAAATAATTAAATATGATAATTTTGAAATAGTAATTTCAAACTGTTTTCCTGTCTAAGGTACACAGAACATCTAAACATGGTTGAGTATTTTTCAGAAAAAACAGGACTAGCTTCATTGAAAATAATACGCAGATCTGAACTTGAGCAATACCGAACTTTGTCTAGTTTGGAGGAAATGAGGCTGAGAGGCAACCTCCTTGCTCTCTACATCTTCCCAAGGAAGGAAAGCAGAGAGGGAGGTGCTGCTGTCTCCTCTCTGGTACCCAGTGACAGGACTCATTGGAATGGTTCAAAGCTGCATCAGAAGAGGTTTAGACTGGGTATCAGGAAGCAATTTTTACCAAGAGGGTGATCAAACACTGGAACTGGCTTCCTAGAGAGGTGGTCGATGCCCCAAGCCTGTCAGTGTTTAAGAGGCATTTGGACCTTGCCCTTAATAGCATATTTTAAATTTTAGTCAGCCCTGAAGTGATCAGACTAGTCAGATTAGATGGCTGTTGTAGGTCCCTTCCCACTTGAACTGTTCTATTCTAGTCAAACTGATGTATGGAAAATTCAACTAAAATATAAGGAAAAAAAAAAAAAAGTACTGGAAGGGTAATAAATAATTTTCCCAGACAGGCTATGAAGTTTCTACCTTTGGAGATATGCAAAACCCCACTGAACAAAGTGCTGAGCAACCTGTTCTAGTTGACTTTTCTTAGAGCAGGGGGCGTGGATTAAGTGATCCCAGAGGCCCCTTCCAACCTCAGGTATTCTATGATTCAAATACCATTCTGAAACTTCCTATTGACAGGAGCCACTCTCAGTTCCTTTATGTTCTTTAAGCTGACCCTCTGTAGGTGAAGGGATGTTTTGACTGTTATGTACTACCCTTGTGCTTGTTGGATAACTTTCTTCTTGTAGACTATTTTTCAAGAAATGTGTCAGAAAAAAAAAAGTGTCATTTCACCCAGCTGAATTTGATTTACGATATATAGCTTCTTAAAGATTGTTCATCCTGATAACAAATTATGGTCTGCATATGCTGAACATTATTGCTGAAGACAAGAATGTCCTTAACAGAATCTATCACACTAATACTGACTTCCTCTCAGATACTGTCTTTCCGCTTTTTTTGTGCTCTTTGTATTACTCAGCATATGGTTATTGCAGGCTGAGTGGCGTATATGGAAAGACGTGCAAGAGAAGGAACCAAACCACTGTGGTACAAAGCTCAACACAATTATAAATAGGTTTCCTGGAGGGGAAATTAGCTTAAGTTGATATCTAGACCACAGTGCAGCCTGCAATCTGTACTTATCAAATGAGTAAAAAGGCAGCCGGTGAACAACTACAAGCTTTTGTTGCTATACGTAACACAGAATGAGCCAAAACAAAGGAACACAAACAACAGAGAATCAATATCCTCATGAGTCACAGATAAACGGTGTAATCCCACAGTCTCTGTAAAAAAATATGACTAAGGACTGCTTCTTTTCCATATAAATATGAGGTCTTGAATAGGAGATTTAAAAAGTGCGGAGGGAAGCATACATCATGCTTGGAATGTACATGTAGAACTACTACGTTTTTTCCTATATATTTACACAAAATAGTCACAGTTACCTCTCGATACAAAACACTTTCAATAGACTTAAGCTTTACGGTTGCTGCAGGTCTCATTCCTTCCATGGCTGCTCTGGTGAGGTTTGTCTTTCTCTTTTTTTCCAAAGCGATATACAATTCATACAAAAGCTTTGTTGCAGCCCCATGCTGTCCTGTCATGATGTTTTTGGCCACATTCTCATTAAATTGTACACCAAGGAGATGAAGCGTGGGCTCCAGGCGAGAAAAATTGTTAAGTTTTGCAATTGCAACCCTATATGATTAAGAGGAACAACACACACAAAAAAAAAAATAAGAACATAAACTTATTTTAAATTCTACCTTGATTCAGTAAGCATGGTCGTGACATTTATATGAAGATAGTAGGGGAAAAGAAAACACAGAGGACCTCTTTAAAATAATATGATAACAAGCTTTGTCTTAGGTTTTATACTGCAGTACATGTAGCTGCATTGGTCTACCAGGCATAACGTTTGGAAAAAATAGAGAACACATCAGGTTACATAAATCTTGATACATACACAAAGTGCATCTGACAGCAAAAGTTTACCACCAATTGCAGCTAATTGTATACCATCCAAAAACAGAACAGAGTTAGAATGAAATTTCTATATAAACTGTATCAATCCACTTGAGCTCTAAGTAGCCAAAATATGGGAAATTATTAAGAAAAAAAGAAAAAAAAAAGTCTATATAATCCATTAACCCTCACAACACTTTGCCACATTTCTCCAATAAAAAGAAATGGAAACATGGGTTGGACTACTGTAGAAAACAAAGATTACAGTCTCAATAAGCAATTTACATTCGAAACTGAAATAGTGGATTGCAAATTAATGTTTCTCTTGACATACAGATTCTCCTGTGGAAGCACTCAAAATCGACAGCTATACAGGCTAAAACCTAGTAACAATAAATCATCAGTGTATCATAATTAACACATTGAATTTCATTTAAAAAATCTGTAACTTCAACCTAAGACAGAACATCATGCATTCTACACTGCTCTATCACTTGAGTTCACAACAGTTTTTTCACATGAACCAACAAGCTTTTGAGGTCAATTGAGCTACAGCATAATTCTACAGAAATGTCCAATTTTAACTTAAGATGCTCCAGTAACACAGAACTCACCTTATTCCTATATGAAACAGTCCAGGAGCTCATTATTCTCACCATGATAGCTCATGCCTCATTTCTTACACAATTATATATAACTGCAGCTCACAACTACTGAAAAATTTTCTGCTATTTGAGTCAAGGTCCTATTGTCATAAATCACCTTACATGCACTGAGAAGCTGTGATGATACCACTTCTTAACGTTTTGTTCTGTAATCAGATCAGATGGAATTTCTTAACCTTGCTTCATAATACAAAAATCTTATTTCAAGATAATTTTCAGGGAAAGCCACAATTTTATTTTTTTCTTCAAATATGGACAACTAAATTGGAAAAAGTTTTTCAGTAGTACTCCTTTTGAAAAAGTAGTTTCATTTTCTCAATTGTTATTCCCTTGCCTTTATATCTAAGAACTGTGCAATGTAAACAGCTAATATAGGTAAGAAGACCTTGACTAGTCAGTCACAACGACCCCACATTCTTCTCTGTTAGCGCCTTCTAGATTACAGCTGCCTATCCTAAAAAATGAATCTACATTTATCCTACAACCATCCCAACAGGTATGATCTTGCCTTAGGCTATGCTAAATCATATTGAAGTGACACCATCTTACCAAATGATCCATGAAAAACATGTTGCTCCTTAACAGCACAGTCCAAATTTTCAAAGTATTACTTTAGAGATATTAAGTAAGATTAGGCAAGTACAGGTTCTTGCAGGATTCCAAGACCGTACAACGACTATCACACAGCAATAATTAAGGTGCAGAAGAAATATAAGAAAACATTGCCTCAATTCTAAATAGTTGTCAAAAAAGTCAATGTCAGAAAATAATGAAAAAAGATGAAAACATCAGATTATCTTTACAAAGTTGTGGAGTACTGAGGTATAGAACAATACACACAGTCCTTCTCTCTCTCATATGCCAGATACTCATAGAACTTAATAACTGCTAAAGCGTTTCCCTGGACTTGCTCAAAGACATCAGTGTCTTTCTTGTCAGCCCTTTCCTCCAGCCCATCAAGGTCCCTCTGAAGGGCAGCACAATGAAGTGATTTATCAACCACTCCCTCCAGTCTGGTGAGGGTCCACTGTGACTCAATCGTGCAGGTTGGTAGTGAAGATAGATAGTAAACAGTTTTGGTCTCACAATACACACTGGCTACACCACTAATCACTGACCGTCAGCTGCGCTTCACGCTGCTGCTCACAATCCCTTGAGCCCGCCAGTTCAGCCAGTTTTGAGTCCATCTCACTGTCCACTTACCCCGTCCATATTTCATCAGTTTGTCTATGAGGGTATGAAGTAAGACAGTGTCAAAAGTCAATGTAAACACCACATGCTGATCTTCTGATCAACCACTAAGCCTGCCACCTCATTGTAGAAGGCTGTCAGGTTTGTCAGGCATGATTTCCCCTTTCTAAAGCCATGCTTTAGAAAGCATTCCCAGTCATCTCCTTGTCCTTACTATACTTAGAAATGTTTTCCATGCCTATTTGCTCCATCAGTTCCTAGGGACCGAGGTACCACTGACCGGCTTCTACACTGCCAATGCCCTCTTCTTGCTCTCCTTGAAAAGCGGTCGCAGCTACACTCTTCTCACCTCCTCCAGTTACTAGGACCTTGCAAAGATTATTAAGAGTGGCCTAGCAATGACATAAGCCAGGTCCTTCAGCTTGTGTGGGTATATGCCATCAGGTCTCACAGACTTGTGTGTTTCCAGTTCATGCAAACGTTCCTTAAGCCGAGCCTCCTCTATCAAGGGTAAATCCTTCTTGCTGCAGACTTTCCTGCTAGTCTCAGGGGCTTGGGATTTCTGAGTCAGAGTTTTACCAGTAAAGCAGACCAAGGCAGAGAAGGCATTAAGTAACTCAGCCTTTTCCATGGCAGACTGAATAGTATTTGAGAGTCGGAGAGGGAGACTGATCAATGGAACTGGGTGCTGCAATCTATGATGCTTATAAGCCAACTCACTGTAGCCGCTACAGACGCTGGTCCTGGATCTGTTTTGTGCCAGGAGCAAGGCAGCATCACAAGGGATAAGGAAGGGTTGAAAAAAATTACAGCATGGAGGAGTTAAAGAAACCCATTCTTATCTTCTAAGATACCTTTACAGAATAAGTAAATGCCCTGGGTATGGTGGACAAAGCACATAATGAGATAGAGGAGGAACCAGCGCAGTCTTGTCAAAGTCAGACAGATCAGATCCTCACAATAAAACCTGCCTTAAGACAAACACCAAGAGAAACAATGGTGAGTTATAGGCATTGGTGTCTCCCTCCTGTGCAGAACAGAAGCAGCCATTTGCAGACCACATCCTCTTTTCAGGTAAATTTGCTTTCTACCTGGGTTCGGAATTAAGGATGTAACTACAGGACTGAAGATCTTAGCACAACTTTCAGACTACTACCCATTCCTACTCTTTCCAGTTGGTACAAATGATGTTGCAACAAAAAGTCTGAGATGAAACAGAGATTTCAGAGCCCCAGGAAGAATGCTATATAATTTGGGAGCACTCATGTTTTCCTCAATGTAAACACTGATGGGCTTTTTTTCACTGTGTCCTGTGTCCCAGTCAGCAGTAAGCTGATATTTTCTCTAGCCTCCTTTCAGCTTGTCCACCCCTCTCCAGATCATGAACTTCACCATCTCATGGTCACTGCAGCTAATACAGACTTGGTTTAGTAGATCATCTCCCCAATCACATTTCTCAGGAAGTTATCATCAGTGCACGCCAGAGACCTCCTGGATTGTTTGTGCTTGGTAGTGTTTCTCTTCTAGCACATACTAGAAAAAGTGTGAATGCTTCCCCCATAATGCCATCTTCTCAGCACTTCCTTAACTGTATGTATGTATTTGGGGTGGGCAGACTTCTGCACTGGTTTTCCCCTCTTATTTACATCACCCTCCTCCTCTTGCTTGCCAGTCCAGATCACCATTTCCTTACTCGTTTGACAGTAACCATCTCTTCCCATCGCCTGCCCTGTTCCTAGTTTATGGCTACCCTCATCAGCATCAGCCTATTGGCAAAGATGCTTTTGCCCAACCTGGTCAGATGGATCCCATCTCTTCCTAGCACTCCTCCATCTTCAAAGAGAATCCCACGACTACAAAAACCAAATCCCTGATGTTGACAGCAGCTGCAGAAGCTGTAGAATCTATCCTTATCAAGCCTTTCCACGTCACAAGCAGAATTAAGGGAAAAAACACCTGGGCCCCCCATGCCTTTGACTTTTGCCTCTAGAGTCACTCTTGATATGATCCAGGTCTCTCTGGCAGTATCCTTGGTGCCCATACAGAAGAGCAGCTAGACAAGCCCCTGCAGTCCTTGACCCATGCCCCAGCAAGCAGCAAACCTCCCTGGCTAGCATGTGAGGTCAGCAGATGAGTACCTCCACCTCTGGCAAGAGAAAATCTCCTGCTGCTATCCCTCACCTTCTCCTCCTGGTGCTCTGGTGTGGTTCAGACTTAGCCAGCTCAGATTCTTTGCTGCATGAAGCAACTGGCCTCTCATCTGCCTCCAAGGCAATGATCCTGTTCTGCAGCTGCAGATCAGTTGAGCAGGAACATGCCTACTCTTGCCAGAAGTCACAAACTGCCAGTCATCTTTTCTCAACCCCACAAGCACAAATTCTGCCTGCCTCTCCCCCAGCATAGCTGAGTGCTCAAGTTCTGGTATCTGTAGCGTCTCTGAGAAGATCCAGTCAATATCCTTTTCATCATCTGTGACATTGAAGAGTCTACTTGCCACCTTCTGCAGCAGCTTGACTTTGTGACACAGATCTTCCACAAGCACACACCTCTGCAGGAAAAGCTGCCACCACACCCTGCCCAAAGCTAGGTCAAGAGTTTGGGCATTTCCTACAGCCTGAAACATGGTGGACTGCCTCCTTTGACTGGAGAGCAATCTGAGTTGAGGCCTCTGGCCTTCTCAGTATTTGCTCCAGCCGGTACTGGGAATCATGCCATGTTTTATATCGTCACCTTTACTGAGCATGCATACACTGTCTCAGCAGTTTCTAACCTCTTCTTGCACCTGCTGAAGTGCATCTTCACTAACTGCACCTCCCTAATCAAAAGTCAGCTGGAGACAAGAGCTCGAAGCACCCTTTATCAGGAAGAGTTGAGAGAACTTGTTAGAAGCTGCTAGAACTTGCTAGAAGTAAAATCCTCCTGAAGCTAAACTTTTGCAGCAGTTGCAGGCACTCTAAAGCTCCTCAAAGAGTTACTAGTTCTCCAACGATCCCATAAATTCCTGAGAGATCTAGAAGTCCCAGAAGCAGGGCCCAAAAAATGCTGAGCAACACTGTTACGTTTGTTGGCTGTGTTTGTTAGCTGTGCTCAAGCTGCCCTCCTACAAGTTGGTGAGACTTAGACAGAAAAGGGAATAACAAATGAGAAGTGCAAAGAACATGAAAAAGACAAAGAAACAGGAAGAGAATGAAAAGCTTGGAACACTTCATATATACGTGCACCAAGGTCTGCCAAAATGGAGCATAAGCTAAGGAACTCTATGAACTGCATCATCAACTCACCAAGGCCCACAGATCTACACATGATTTTTCGGCTTCCTGGTTTTGTTCTTCATTGTGGATATTACACCAGCTTACTTGTAAACTTATAAATTCTTACATGATCTTCTCGCAGGGCTTTACTGGAGCCTCACAATACATCTCCACCATTTTCATTTTAGTGAACATGTAATGGTCACCACCACACCATACCCCTGGACTTCTGGCTCTACACTGCTCCTAGGGACAATATTAATATCTCCAGTGGCAAAGACATCGTTGAATCATAGAATGGTTAAGATTAAGATCATTTAGTTCCAACCCCCCTGCCATGGGCAGGGACGTTTCACCCTTGACCATGTCACCCAAGGTTCTGTCCAACCTGGCCTTGAACACTGCCAGGGATGGAGCATTTACCACTTCTTTGGGCAGCCTGTCCCAGTGCCTCACCACCCTCACTGTAAAGACCTTCTTCCTTGTATCTAACCTGAAATGGGTTTCAGTTTAAACCCATTACCCCTTGTCCTACCGCTAAAGTACCTGATGAAGAGCCCCTTTCCAGTATCCTTGTAGGCCCTCTTCAGACACTGGAAGGCTGCTATGAGGTCTTCACACAACTTCTCTTCTCCAGGCTGAACAGCCCCAATTTTTTCAGCCTGTCTTCATACAGGAGGTGCTCCAGCCCCTGATCATCCTCATGCCCCTCTTCTGGACTTGCTCCAACAGCTCCATGTCCTTTTCATGTTGAGGACAACAGAACTGTACACAATACTCCAAGTGAGGTCTCATGAGAGCAGAGTAGAGGGGCAGGATCACCTCCTTCGACCTCCTGGTAACGCTTTTTTTGATGCAGCCCAGGACATGGTTGGCTTTCTGGGCTGCAAGCGCACACTGCTGGCTCATGTTTGTCATCAAACTACACCCCCAAGTCCTCTACAGAGCTGGTCTGAATCTCTTCTATGCCCAACTCGTAGCTGTGAGGGTCTGTTGAACTTTTTGGTCTAATCTGCTATTATCATAGTTTCGATCAAAATGCGTAATTTTCTTGAAGAAGAATTACCAATCTCTCTGGAAATATGAAGCTAATCCATGTGTCAAATACAAGTAGCTTTTGACTTACTCATAAATGTATCAAATCTTGGTAAGTTCTAGATGTATTTCTCACTGTGCATTAGCAAATCCTACCTGAAAATTATGTATTTTGTCTAATTTCTGTAGAGACATGTTATCGATATGTACTAACCTGCTCTGTGAAAATTGATCAAAGTCATCCTGAAGATCGTATTTATGTAGAAGTTCTCCTAGGAGGTAGCCATTAGAAAAATCTTCTGAAATTGTTCCTGGAACTAAGTTTGGGAGTTTTGTTGTTAGCAAAAACAAATGAAAAAATGTCATACACTAATTTTAATACAATAGGTTATTATTTTCACAAAAAAGTTGTCCAAACTTTATTAAATAATTCAGAGGAATTTTAGGAGGTTGATCTAGCAGTAACTGGTTTTCAAGCCACCAATAACTACACTGCTTTCGATGTTGTTATTATGCAGTAGTTTTTGCAGTAGTATTTTGTAGTTATTAAGCTTTAGGCACTCAGAATCATAGAACAGTTTGGGTTGTGAAGGACCTTAAGATCAACTAGTTACAACTGCCTGCCGTGGGCAGGACAACACACACTAGACCACATTGCTCCAAGCCCCGTCCAAGTCGGCCTTGAACAGTGCCAGGGATGGGGCAGCCACAGCTTCTCTGGGTAACCTGTTCCAGTGTCTCACCACCCTCACAGTAAAGAACTTCTTCCTTATATCTAACCTGAACTTCCCCTGTTTCAATTTAAACCCATTCCCCCTTGTCCTATTGCTAGTTTAATTAATCATTTAATTATAACTTTCAGTGTCAAAAAGCGAACACTGTCATGATTATCATTAAGATCATGGCAATATCTATAAAGTATAACTACTAAATTTCCCATAAGAAATGCAAATGAATACAAAGCTAGATCTAAAGTGCTTCTCTTCCACGGAAAGTTGCTTCCTCCTTGCAGAAGAAATGCTTCTCCAAAGCCAGCACAACACCTGGCTTGTAAAGCAAAGCTTTGCAAACTGCTTTGCAAACTTATTAAAATACTCTCATCCTCTGGAGATCTTATTAGCAGGTGAAGCTTGAGCTCCTCATACCCCCTGAGAGCACTAGCGCCTTGAAGAAACTAAACTTCATCTCGAATGTCACCGTCGTACACATGAAGGTTGGAAATGTTCCTGAGGAGGTATCTAGACAACGGGGAAGAAGGAGGGCTCATGGAGTTGGTCCGCGGGACCCACTCGATCCTGACCCTGCGGCAGGCAGCTCCCCGCGCTCACGGGCAACCCTGGTGTCCCCCGAGCCCCTGCCC